TAAGTAATTCCTACAACACCAATAAAGTATCTACAGTATACTGTATGTGTCCACACTTGCTGGTGTTAAACTAACATTTGTGAAAGTGTTACATTTTAACACCCATTTTTGTTAACACCAGCCAGTGTTCAACAATATTAACAATATTCAACAATAATGGGTGTCACAACATTACAACATGTCCTGATGCATCTCAGTAATCCAGGTAAAAAATCAAAAGGAAAAAAACTTGTATGGTCCTCTGGACGGGTTCTTCTCTAATGAAACGTTTCATTAAAGAAGAACCCGTCCAGAGGACCATACAAGTTTTTTTCCAGCTGATTCAGAAACATTTTTTCAAAGTTGAGTTTTCTAAACACAAGGTTGGTCTGAAGGTTGAAGTGATTCTGGACAGAGGTGAAAATACGTGATGCTTTCTTTGGTCCTCCAGGATTTCAGAACCAGGACTCCTGAAGGTAGCTCCAACATCTGCCTGTGAGTCCTGCTGAAGCTTTTAGACTGAACCTCTCACACACAGCTTCATCTTAAAGATTTAATCTTATTTTCTAGAGTCCAACTGGAGAGTTGACAAATTAGAAGATTTCTGGAGTTTCAAACAAACACCTGAATATTAAAGTTAAAGGACTGAGATCCTGGAAGCTCTGGAGCTGGTCTTAGAGAAGACCTGACCGTTTGAAGGTTCTAATGGAACCAGAGAAACACTGAGAAGAAAAACAAGAGTTTCTATGAAATTAAACATCTGTGCTGAGACTTGGAGTCAGGCTTGGACACGTTTACGGTCACAGCTGGGTTTCCCATCATCTCAGACTGGGACTGGGTTCTGACAGTGCCCACAGGTTCTGATGAAGCTTCAGGTGAACTTGCTTCAGCGGTGCCAGTGGAGCTCTCAACATCCTGAAGAGAAAAGAGCAGAGTTAGAAGATCAGTCAGGAAAATCCACAGACAGAGACCTTTCCTACCAAGAAGCTGCTTCTGTTCTCTGAGCCTCAACCAAACCTCCACCAACTGCAGCTGACCCCCGAGCTGCAGCGGCCCACACCTGTGCAGCAGGGGGCTGCCTTCAGGGCACCCATATGTGGAGGTTCAGGACCTTGATCAAAGGTCCAGGGTGGAGCAGATGAGAGTGGAAGCAGCTGTGGTGCTTCATCTTTCCCTATTTGTTGTAACAGTCAGAGAAATCAAAGCAGTGATTTCTTGATCACAGGTTTACCTGGTCTGTGCCTCAGGACAACATCTCAGACATTTGTTTCCTAAATATGTTTCAGTTTTCATTAAAGACTTCCCCGCCCCACAGGAAGTCTTCCTGGTGAACTACAGGAGTTCTTTGGATCATCAGGAAACAAAAACCATAAATCCAGCTGCCTTCTCTTTAGACTCTTAGCACTACACCTGTCCTTTACCTGAGACTTTACCTGTTAGTCTTCATAATCAGTTTGATCTTGTTAAAACTAAAGAGAATTTTATTTTTYATAAAATACATTTATAGAAAAATGTCTTACCTTTTTATCTTCTGCTCTTTGTTTGATGCTTTGACCAGAAGCACCTTCAGTGTCTTTAGCCGCACCTGGTTCCTGAGGATGTAATAACACAGTTATAACTGTACCTATATGGTTCCTGAGGATGTAATAACATGGTTATAACTGTACCTATATGGTTCCTGAAGGTGTAATAACATTGTTATAACTGTACCTATATGGTTCCTGAGGATGTAATAACATGGTTATAACTGTACCTATATGGTTCCTGAAGGTGTAATAACATGGTTATAACTGTATCTATACGCAGGTTCCTGAAGGTGTAATAACATGGTTATAACTGTATCTATACGCAGGTTCCTGAAGATGTAATAACATTGTTATAACTGTACCTATATGGTTCCTGAGGATGTAATAACATGGTTATAACTGTACCTATATGGTTCCTGAAGGTGTAATAACATTGTTATAACTGTACCTATACGGTTCCTTAGGATGTAATAACATGGTTATAACTGTACCTATACGGTTCCTGAAGGTGTAATAACATGGTTATAACTGTACCTATACGGTTCCTGAAGGTGTAATAACATGGTTATAACTGTACCTATGAAGGTGTAATAACATGGTTATAACTGTACCTATAGGTTCCTGAAGATGTAATAACATTGTTATAACTGTATCTATATGCAGATTCCTGAAGATGTAATAACATTGTTATAACTGAACCTGAACACAGGTTCCTGAAGGTGTAATAACATGGTTATAACTTTAACTATATACAGGTTCCTGAAGGGGTAATAGCATTGTTATAACTGTATATGTACACAGCTCATAAAGCTGTAAGAACATAGTTATAACTGTACCTATATGCAGGTTCCTGATGGTGTAATAACATGGTTATAACTTAAACTATACACAGGTTCCTGAAGGGGTAATAGCATTGTTATAACTGTATATGTACACAGCTCATAAAGCTGTAAGAACATAGTTATAACTGTACCTATATGCAGGTTCCTGATGGTGTAATAACATGGTTATAACTATATTTACATGGATCATAAAGATGTAAGGACATTGTTATAACTGAGATACCTACAATAGGTTCTGATCCTCTGAAGTCGGCCTGACTGCCAGCTGTTGTGAGAGAGCTGACTGCAAAAACTGGCAGTCAGGCCGACTTCAAAGGACCAGAG